GAGAAATAAAGATGCAGAATTAAACACAGTGTAAGTGCAACATAACATACATTTCAATAGGTAATAGACTGGTTCTCGCTTGAAGCGTCTGAAGACCACGAGAGAGTCTGCTGTTCAGACAGACAGTGGAAGATGGTTCCACCGCCTGAGCTCCAGGACAGAGAAGAGTCCTGATACTCGTCTTCCATGCATCCTGAAGGATGGTGGGTCAAGCCGGGCTGTACTTGAAGCTCTAAGGGCTCGAGGTGCACATCGGGTTTTGACCTTTGCCATAATATAGAGAGTCCCCAAAGAAAACTTATTATTTCAGATTTTCCACTATTTTCCATCATCAACATTCCATATAAACTCAGAAGACTCGTGTAGGTTCACTGGTGGTTCTGGATAGTAAATAAAATGTCTATATTTGTGTTGTAGTCATGGCGACCCCTGGTTCCTATCACCACCACTGTAAAGACATCTGAACCATTTCACACCAAACCACTCTGAATCACTCTGATTACGTCTCAAACACTGAGTCATGAAGGACTTTAGAGAAATCAGTGGCACTCAAACAAATAGCAGAACAAACCTCTTCTCTGTATGTTTCCAAAGAACATTTTAACACTCTCTGGATAATAAAGTTGAATTGAATTCAGCTCAGTTGCATAATCTGGCCTTTACTCATCAGAGTTGCACAGTTAAATCTGAGCTCTTTTTAATGCAGCTTTAATGAATAAGTGCCAACGTCTTTAAACAAGTTAAAACCTGCTCGACTCCACCCGACGGTTCTCCTGTGTCTACAGTTCTACTGAAACCTCAGGATGAGTGTTCCTCCACTCAGTAACCGGTGCAGATCTTTCTCCTGCAGCTTCCTTTATCACACACCGACCTCTCTCTCAAAGGCACTGAGCTGGAAACAATACAGATCAGCTGATTTCCTGCTGAGCCTTAATGGCCTCTTAAAGGGAACAGAGAGAATAAAGACTTCCCTACAGCTGCAACACACACACCCACACTCATATTCGTTTTCATCCCTTTTCAGGACACGGGCAAATGCTTCAGGCACCTGAGAAAACCACATTTAAAAAGCTGTTTACCTGGTCAGTAAGTGTTTGTTTGCTCAGAAATACAAATAATATTGAAGCAATAAGCCACTTGAGGCTGTGCGTTACTGCGTTACTCATAGGAAGAGTGTTCTTAGAGTGTTCTCCTAAAACTCCCTTCGGCGGATCAAACTATGATAAAACACACAATTCTTCAGAAAATAATTTATTATTAATAATAATCAACATAAACAAGAATTCCACCAAGAACTGTAGTTGCTTTAGAGTATGGTATTATTGCCAAGCAACCCCGGACCGCTGAATGAGGAGGAGAACGTTCAGTCACCATCGCTGCTGTCAGAATAAAAACCTCATAGCTCCATCTGTTTGTTTTTCAGTTTCTGACATAATTTGAAAATACCTGTTGCTCTTTACATTGTGCGTAAATTTCATGATGAACGGCCCAAAAGAAACGACCCAAAACAACTTGGAAAGACGTCTGGTTCCATTGACTTACATTATAAGTAAAGAAGGTTTTTGCCTTCTCCTGTAAAGTTACCATTTTGGAGATATGAGGTTTATTTCCGACAACAGCGATATATATATATATATATATATATATATACACACACACACACACACACACACACACACATGCAGACACTGTTGCTCTCACTGGACATTGGTGATGAAAATTGGAAACTGTTCGCTGTGGGGAAATGATATGATCTTAAAGTTCAGGTTCTGTGTTTAAAATAATAATATTGAATTACAGAAGGTAATAAATACCTACTGTGTCACTCATACAGCTATAACAACACACTACTTTCTAAAGGGAAAACACCTTTTTGACAAATAGAATTAACCACAATAAACATTTTTCTTTCTGTTTATAATGCTTTATATAGTGTGAGTTGTGCTGACGTGTGTCAGACTCAGCGAGCGGCTCAGTCCGCTCTCACACCTGTGCAGGTATTCGGGCTGTAAATCTGAAACTCTGGGAGCAGATGAACCTTTGGGTCTCCAGCGGCCGGTGCAGTTTCTCTCAGAGTGAAGCTAAAGCTCCTCCGGTTGGGTCAGCTTACAGACCCCGAGGACCTCTTTGCACTAATGCAGGGCATTGTGGGAAAAATGAGAAATTCCCCTTGAGACCCCCCACCCCGCCAACACACACACACACACACACACGCACACTTGAACCCTGCACTGCTCTGAAAAATGTTTAGAAACAACATGAAATTGTTTGGAAATTTTCTGAGTAATGTTTGATTTTCACTGCAACTTTTCAAGGAAGGAAAACCCTGAAAACGTTTGTTACCTCCTTAAATCAGTGTCTGTTATGAATTATTCAGTGTCTATATGAATCACTACTTATATTATTTTTTCTATTTATTCTGATACGAATGCTATTTGTTAGTTAATAAACACTGTGCAGATTAACACCTTTTAAAACTTCTCACATGCCTCGGACTTTT